AGGAATGCCCTTACTTTTTTCCTCTTACACAGGCACAAATGAAATAGAACTTGGAGTCGATGAGGAAGGTTTCATTTACATGGCTTTTGAAGCACCCGAAAAGAATGATTCCTCTGAATTTATCTGGTCGAAGGATTATGAAGGACCACCAGATTCTGAGAGAGTCCGAACTGAAGAGAAAGGCAACAGGTGAGCAGAAAATGCACACTGAGAAATTCCTTGTGGTCTCTGGAACACAGAACCCATGAAATGCTGAAAAAAGGCAACATCAAGCGAGATCTGGTGCCCATGAAACCGGGCACCCAGCGCAATCTTCTGGTCTCAGTACAGAAGCTGCAGCCATCCTATGGCTACAGTTTTGGCCCCACTCTTCAGTGTCACATATAGAGGGCTATGAGTGCTGCATCAGATCTTCCAAATCTATCAAGTATGTATTGTATTCTCTTACAAAAAAAAATCACTTATAAGCAAAATATGACTTATTTTTATTTTTCTTCCTAAGATCTAAGCTCATCCTGAAAGAGCCATCAGAAAAAGATCTGGGGACATATTCAGTGGAGGTCACAGATGTAGATGATGATATCTCTGCCAGCCGTACATTAACACAAGAAGGTAAAAACTAACAATTAACAGGAACAAAAACCTGATGTGCTCTAATTTTATACTGAATGTTTAAAGAAAAGCTCCTCTTAGAAGAATAGAAAGTGAAGAACATCACTTCATGGTAATGGTATCCTTAGAAAGATGTTTCTGTTCCTTGAAAGCCCAAGGCCAATTTCTTTTACAGAAAGGACTCCACAGCCCCGAAAGGTAATTTTTCCTTTACCTTTCAGTATTAAGACACAATACAATATCACCGTGATTTAAAATTTCTTAATGTGATCCTTGATTTGGTATTACAAATGTTTTACTCAGACATAATGAAGAATTATTTTCATGATCTCTTCTAGTCCCATCTGCTCTGGAATGTTTTTTACTTTTTTTTTTTTTTGACATAAGTGAAGATCCATTGGCATATTAAATCATATTGATACAATGGGTTCCTTTTGACCTAGATATATTAGGCTAAACTGACCGCTATTCTTTGCATTTCAGACCTGGACAAGTTACTGAAACGCAGCCATGAAATCAGGAATCCATGTAAGTTGAACCACATCTGTGACAACCATCTGCACCTGCTGGAAGGGGAACCCTGCCACAACCCCACGACTTCAGCTGTGGGATTTGCCTATGAATCCCCCAGGACCTCCCTTCTCCTTGTTTTCCAGTGATCAAGCTCATCTCCGGGTGGAACATTGATGTTCTTGAGAAGGGAGAAGTGCGGCTGTGGCTGGAGGTGGAGAAGCTGTCACCGGCGGCAGAGCTGCACTTGATCTTCAACGCCAAGGAGCTCACGAGTACCCCCGTATGTGCTCTTTAGACCCTGCCATTTGTGTGACTTACTTTGGCCTTCTTTAACAGGGGTACAGCCCCGTGTTCCAAATTCCAGGCTTGATTTCCTGCTACACGTGAACAGGAGGCCAGACTTCACTGTCTGATTCTCCAGTTGCCCAGTCCTGGTGGAAGCAATCAACTAGAGAGCGTAATATCAGCAAGAAACACTTCAAGAAAGTCACTCCTTCCCCGCTTTGCTGTTTGCATTGACAGGCTGCTGCTGGCAGAGACTCCCCTTTTGTAAGGGGACTTTGCAATAAGGAGGCTCATCCAAAGAATTTCACAGATTTTATTACCATTTTTTTGTGTTTTTTTTTTTTAAGCAATGGGTAGCAAATATATTGAAGGTTTACCCATTGAAAGAACTGTCTGGAGGACTGACGTGGTAATGCTTGAGTACAAAGTACTTTTCAAGCTCTGTATAATGATAATGTTTGCTTAGAGCAAACAAGGCCATAAAGCAGAATGATGGTATTTATGTTTAAGCGTCCGACAGGTTTCGGGGCGTATGTGTGAAAGGTTCAGTAGTGCTTGCATGATGTCAGAGCATGAAACACTCCTCCTCATTACCCAGATACGTGATTACATGCCACACATCAGTAATTATGTGCAACACGTCCATTACACTAACACTCACACGGACTCCAGTAAGTTGAAAATCTGTAAAATACAATGAGAAAGAATTCATTGTACCCTGCAGATTTAATGGAAGCTGTTTCCCACAAAAGCGGGAAACAGCAATAAGCAATTCTACTAAGGTACAGAAACAAATGTAATGAACTTTTTATATTGGAAAAGGAAGTACTCTTTGGCAAAACTGACTTGGAGGCAGCTCCTGGGGCACTGATTATATCAGAGTTTATTGCCTTCACTGCACCTGTAAGGTGAGGGAAATATATAAGGATACACATATAAAAGGATTGTTTGAATTCCAAGTGCTATAAAAGATGTTGTGTCGGGATGTGGCCTTGGAATAGTTCCTCTGTGGAATTTCTCTAAGCAATTTATCGTATTTGTTTTGTTTTACACAGACACATAAGATAAACTTTGTCAGAGAAAAAGGCCTGGTCGAGCTTATAATCCAGAACTTCTGTGATGATGACAAAGGCATGTACACAGCCCAGCTGCAAGACGGAAAGGCTAAAAATCAATTCACTCTAGACCTTTTGGATGAACGTAAGTGGAAATTTGGGATCAAACATCAGTGGTAAGCTTCCTACGCACTTAAGGTCCTGAGTATTTCCAGGGGACATCAGGAGAGGGGAGATCAAATATTAAGTTTAGCACATAACTAAAATCTGTAAAATTAACCCTTCCTGTTTCTTATCTCTGATATATTTTAAAATAATCCTTCCTCATCTGCACAGGAATCAGAGGTAACTGATGCACCAGAGATGTCTTATAAACACATATCACAGCTCTCATGATAATACCTTTCCCAATCAGAAACCTCTACTGGGTAGAAAAGTGGATTTTTACTGACTTTGATCATTGCTGTTCTTGCAGGTTTTGACAAAGTCTTAGAGGAGGCTCGTGCAAAACGGAGAGAATGGAAGAAAAAGCAGGGTATGATAACCTGAAGGCTAATGACTTGCCAAAACTACTATTATTTGGAGGGCAATATCTGAGCAAAGCTATTTTACTGAGTGCTCTAAACAGTTTTCTTTACTGTCCTTTTTTCACTGCTTTATTTAAGCTGATTGATGCACTAGGATAAAAGTCCTCATTTTAAGATAATCTCCTGACTTGAAAATCAAAATATCCTCTGAATCAGTGCGGTAATGCAGAACATTCTTGAATTCTGAAAATTATCTAGCCTAACTATTTACCCTGTAGTTGATCTACTCATTTGCCTTGCAGAAAACAGGGCTATTCTAATATGTCCAAAAAACCAACCAATACCTTCCTCCCTGCACTAGTCTTATACTAATGAATAAGGAAGTTTGTTAAACAGTCCTTTCAGAGAAAACTGTTACTGGAAGGATTATTATTGGGATTCACCACTAGATGGTGGCATTTCAGTACATAATTCTTGTAAAACCTTTGGAAATCCAGAGCAAAAGGCATTTATTTTCTTTTGCAGGTCCACATTTTATAGAAAACTTGAAATGGAAGGTTACTGAGAACTGTGAAGTACTGCTTACCTGCAAGGTACTTATAGCCATATAATTCACAGTGTGCAGATGAATCCCTATATCATTATATTTTAGATTAGAATTTTCAGGCATGGTGTGAACAGTGCTCATTCAAATGTTACTTGCAAGCCACTGAAAGGTAAGAGTTAATATATCTTGGATTAAAATTTTATCAGAGAAGGAAATTTTCCAGACTCTTTGGCAATCCTCCAAGGAAATGGCGTTCCTTATTGGAAATATGTGTAGGCATTCAGAAAGAAAATGTGTTTGGCATCCTGACTTCTAAATCTTCACTTCAAACAGGCAGCAAACCTGAAAAAGGACACCAGCTTTCAGTGGTTCTTCAATAAGAAGGCTCGAACAGGCGGCGTGTTTGACCAGCAAACAGGGATAGGAACTCTTCGGATTAAAAAGGTGAGAACTACAGAGCACTTCAGAAGCTTTGCTGATGTCACTTAAACATGTCAAAAATATGGATGGATCTTATTAATAACATTCAGAGTATGTTTTGGGTACTGCCCACTACATGAAAGAAACTGAACAAATACCAAAGAAAGCATAAAACATCAGTCAGTTAAAGTTATAGCCCAACAGAGCTGAAATAGAAATGAGATTTTTTTTTGCCTATTAGAATTTTAGCTTATTCTGCAAATGGTTAAAAAGGAAAGTGAGGGCTCTTCAGCTTTTCATATTAAACTGGTTTTGATTTTTCATCGTGATTTCCCACACCAGAAAGGGCACTCAGTGCTACCAGGTGACATAGGACACATGTATGTATGTATGTACATATACATTTATTTGCCAGATAACCAAAGCAGATGAGGGCCAGTACAAAGCAGTTGTTTCAGACGACCGAGGAGAGGACGACACCCAACTGGATCTCACAAAAGGAGGTAAGAGAATGTTGTATCAGGCAGTATTACACATTACAGACCCTGGGATTCAAATTGGGTTTAGAAACAAATTTCATAACTTTCTACCACACTGATAGTCACCACAGTATCTGCATGCATCTACAGAAATCAAAATCTACATTAAAAAATCACTAACTAGATTCAAAGAGCTTCCCGATCTTCTATAGCATATATATGCACCAGATCAGTTATGACCACAATATAAATTCTGCCATGCATAGGATTAAAAGTTCGTTAATGTTTCAGTCACTTCAACTCAGCAACAATCAAAAGATTGCACTTTCCAAGATTAAATATTACCCTGGCATCTGGACTCTATCATTTAAACCTTATACATACATCTGTGTGCTGTGACACTCTGTTGCACTGAGTGTTAAGGAAGACAGGAGCATCTAAATATAACAAGAAATCCCCAGCATCTAAAAATAAATCAGTTACTGGCAAGAACCTCAGACCCTGTAAGCTTCCCAAAAAAGACAATGAATAACTATTATATATAATACATTCTAAACATAAGGAAATTAAGTTGGTAGTTGAAACATGTTTTGTTAAATGCTATAATTATAGATACTTAACCATCTTTATGTCCTGCAGCTTTTGAAGACCTTCTCAAGGAGCTGTGCAGGATCAGTGGTATGTCCTTTATTCACCAGCTGATATTGCTTCTATAGCAATAGAAGAGGAGGGAGATGAGGTGTCATGATCAGAGCAACCAACAGCTCTGGAAGTGACACTGGATTTGGACAGAGAGGTTAATCCTTAACCTCTTAAGCACAATAGTATTGATTAAATATTCCTTTAGCGTTAGAAGCACCTTCAAACTGAGGAGGAAATTGTTCAATAAACAGCAGATTGGGCACGGAAAGAAGCATTAGTAAAGTCAGGATTACATGAGGTTGTGAAAGAAAGACTACTTCCACCTCAAAAGAGAGGAGTTATTTCATATTCCAGCATCAAAGCAAACAGAGATCCAAGTCACTTGTCTACAAGACGTGACTGCTGAGAACAGCAACGGCTGAGCTAGTGTTGAACCCTGCCTACACGAGACACTGACATTTCTGTACTGGCTGCTGGGGAAAAGACCCACGGCCTTCACGAGGTAGAACACCCCCTAGCTGGCCCCGTCCTCCAGGCAGAAATGTTAATAATTGCTTGGGATTTTGCTTGCATAATATGTAAAATTACACAGACTTCCTTGGTTATCTTCCTGAATTCCAATCATTTAATCCATCAGCTCTTTCTGCTACACCTCTGAAAATTCAGCCTACTGCAGAAGGCATCAAAATCTACACTGATGTGAAGTACTACACAGACTACATGAAAACAACGTGGTATCACCTGTAAGTCCCCAAAAGATACTTGCAAGGCTCCTGTTTAGCGCTGAGATTAAGCACGCTGGGCCTAAGCCTGCAGCTTTTAAAGGCAATGGGAGATTTGTCAAGTAATGGATGAAACCTGAAAGGGCTGAAAACTCTCCCTGGAGTATGTGTGGGCTTCTAAAATAAGCAGTCCTGTTATTTGTATCTTAGCACTGCACAAATATTTACAAGCGGTCACCTTTACTAGAATAATCATGATGCACTTGAGGGACTGCTCAGTCTCAAGCATCCTGGTTGCAGATAGGAGAGGAAGTTATTGTGTGTTAAGCCCTTTGATTCTACTACTTTACACCTCTGATTGCTTTACCCCACTGTGACTCACAAATATTCCCAAATATTACAGGATTATTTCCAAACACCAATTACCTTAGTTGCATAGCATCCTGGTAAAAGAGAGAAACACCATTTTACAAGACCCTTCCTAAAGATGTACACGAGGACAATTTTAATGATGCTCAAGAGCTCAACCCTTACAAATATTTAATGTCTAAATTCTGTCTTCTCTCTTAAATAAGAACAAGGAGCTCTACTGTAGAGCGTGCAGAGCTCTGACAAAATGCCTAAAAGAACAGAAGTGCCTAGTGAGATTTTCAAAAGCAACTGCATATATAACTGTTGGTGAAAATAGCAGGGAAGTGCTGACTCCAATCTCTTGTTCTAATCAGTAGATCTAAAGAAAATGTTAGTCTTCTAATTTATGCAGTTCTGCTTCAATGATACTGAACTGATATGATGTTTACTTAGGGAGAAACGTCTAGAAAGTCGTGACAGACTGAAAACTGGCAGTACAGGGAATCAGATCTGGCTTCACATACTGAACCCCACAGAGGCAGATAAAGGAAAATATACCCTGGAGTTATTTGATGGGAAGGACTCACGCAAACTTACAACCGACTTGTCTGGACAAGGTGAGCTGAGTTAACTGTTACAGGAAGGAGATGCTTACTTCCAAGCTTCCACCCGATAACTCCTCTCCCTGATTTGAGATGGAGCTGCAGCTCTCACATTCATGCCATGAAATAGGGTTAAGAAGGACAGCGAAGTACACAGAGAATTGTCAAAGGAAATGTGGGGACAGGAAGGCAGGAGCAAGCAGCAGAAAGGCCTGAAACCCTTGGGGAGTCTTTTGGGAGGGAAGGATGAGTGGGCAGCTGCTGCTCCTGGGATGTGTCCTGATTCCTCCACAGGCCAACGGGACTTGCAGGTGGCATCTCGGAGAGTGTGGCTTCAGGTCCACAAAAACTTCTCCCAGCCACTCAGAGAAGGCTCTTTTCTTCCTCAGCACTAAAAAACAAAAAATACCCTTTTTGTTTTGCAGCCTTTGAAGATGCCCTGGCTGAGCACAGAAGGCTAAAGTGAGTTTCTGCCCACGTATATTCACAGCTAAGATAATCCATTTTGGGTGTTGCATTCTGTGGTGGTCATCTAGTAGCATGGATAGCAGGGTGGGGAAGAGTGAAGGTTGGAAAAAATCATTAACAAATACATCATTAGCCCAGAATAACTTGCATGCTCGATAACTGTGAATGATCAGGCATCCCTTTTTTTTTTTTTTCAATTTCAAAAGTACATCTATACCCTTTAGAGAATAAACTTCCTTTCAAGAGCACTGAGAATATATACCTAGTAAGCAAAACCACTATAATTGTCTTTCTCCTTCACTTTCAGAGAAGCAGCAGTAGCAGAAAAGTGTAAGTAAATTAATATTGTATGTTTTCTTCTGCTAAACAAAGCCGAGTGACAGGTAAAATTAAGGGGTCATGTTTGCTCATTCCCAGGTCGTGCCAGAGTCGTTCAAGGCCTGCCAGATGTGGCCACCATCATGGAGGATAAGGTAACATTGAGTAACTGCTCTTGCAACTGGCCTTGGCCCAGCAGAAAGGCCCGAGCTGCTGCTTTTCCCTATGGCACATTCCTAGGCAGGCTGGCTGCAGCTCTGCCTTTGTGAGCTGCTGCAAGAGCCATGGGCCAGGGGTGATACTGTCCACAGGACTCCTACCACTCCCCAAGTGACAGAAATGACATGTAATCGAGGACAATTATTTGCTTGGAGCCACAAACTGGACAGTGAAGTTCGGTCCAGTTGTGATGTATCAACTTTAAAAATGGTAGCTACCTTGTAAGAATCATTGTATAAAACAAAGATCCAAGAGAAAAGTATGTGTGCTACTTGATGAATACTACACAGTGATCAGTTCTAAGTCTGATCAGAACAAAGGAGGTTACAAATCAGCAGGCTTTATGGATATTTATTTATACTGTTTTTTCTTTTTTCTTCCTTTCACATTGACAGAATTTCTTTGCTCATTTATGCCTTCATAATCTATGTCTGCTATCTGTTTTACAACAGACCCTGTGTTTAACTTGCTGCGTATCTGGAGATCCTTACCCAGAAATCACATGGTTCAAAAACGAGAAGGTTATTGTCTTTAAAGATCGTTATAAAATGGACGTGAAGGGGTCAGTCGTCACAATTACCATTGATAAAGTCTGCAACGAAGACACAGGAAAATACAGCATCTATGTCAAGAACAAATATGGTTCTGAAACAGGGCAGGTTACTATAAGTGTTTACAAGCATGGAGAGATACCAATCGGGGTGGAAGCAGAGTAAATCTCATGTGGGAATGTACCCGAACAGCCTAAATTAATTAGGCATCTACAATTAATGGAATTTAAAAGGAATTTAACACTTTCTGATTTCTTCGAATGTTTCAGCCCTATAACTCAGGCTCATGTTTCTCTGCCTTATCAAAGCATCTGTAAACAGATCTGTGGAAAACCTCCAAAACCCTAACAAAATAATTCTACTCTCCTAGGCCAGATTCTTATTTTTATGTATGTAGCTTGTGTGTATGTGTATGCATGGTTGTGCACACATGTGTATTCAGTTTACAGTGTAACTATTTCCTAGTCAGTAGTGCTGCATGGAAAATACCAGGTGATTTGCGTATACAAGAAATATGCTGTGTTTTTTTTGTATTAAACCCACGTATGTCAATGATTATCTTGTAGCTGACAAATGCTTATGTGTATATTATTAAACGCACACCTTGGGTACCACTTAAGCACAGTAGTCAAGTATGTATCGATGTGGCAATGGGCTGGCCTATCGCCTGCTCCAAAGCCACAACTACCCTCTCAGCTTCTGTCAGTAAAACCATGTCAGCGAGAACCAAACTGTTTCTCTAATCTGACTTTGGAAGAACAAAACAGATGCTAGCATGTCTAAGAGAAATGTGTTCTTGGAATGAAGAGAGAGCTGGACTTCAACATTCATTCCATTTTGGAACAACTGCCGATTTGTGTGTGAATTTTCTTTGAAATTACATACTAAAAAACAGTTCTGAATTTGTAAGTAAAAATTCAGCTTTGTTCTTCTATTCAAAGAGAAGAATTACTGACCAGAACAGAGAAATAAAAGTTAACTTACAAAGGTCAGTTACCCCGGGGCTGCAGGCTTTATTTGAATTAAGCAATATCATGTCAGGGCACACATAATCTAATGAATGATTTCCAAAGTCAATAATCATTCTTGCACAGACAGCAAGAAATATACTCACTAGTTATTATGAGTGAGGTATTCTTGGTGCAATCTGTGAGAACAAAAACAATGAATCCTGTTTATTTCTTTAATTTCAGTCCCCAAGCTGTGTTCCATATTTTATTTTACCTTCACCCATCTGCCTATGAAGTGATAAAAAAAACCAAAAAAATGAAATTAGCACAGAGTTAAATGCACATTACTGACATCTGTGGATGAAGTCATATCTAACTGTCCCACTAGGATATGATTTTCTATGTGCTCAAGTGATAGGAGGACCACAATTCCAGAAGCAGCAGCCGTGGAGTTTATTCCCACCACTGCAGTTCCATGTGCGCACGGTGCAAACACTGTAGTAATCAGGAAGCCTCTAGCCTAGTTCTTAGCTCGCATCTACTGTAAATTACACCATTTTATCTGAAGAAGTGTATGTCAGCACAGAAAATACATTCAAGAGGTCGTGAACAAAAGGAAAACAGATTAATCAATGCCACCCTTCACAACAATTATAAATCATATAGCTAGATCAGTGACCCACCATAAACAGGAATCCCAAAACATTTGGTCAAGGTAACACCTCCTACAAAGTGGAATGAACTAGAGGTTATGATCATTAAGAACAAATAGATGATTAATAATTGTTACTTCGGTTAATAATTACCTGATCATGTCACACTCTGGGCTGGCTTTTTCCTTACCATAAATAGCATCCAAACGAGCAGGGAGTTCTCTCACTTTCCTGCTAGCACCCACATTGCATTACAGCATCCACAATGGCATTCAATGGGACCTGGCAGGTCTACGCCCAAGAGAACTATGAAGAGTTCCTGAAAGCCATCGGTAAGTGCCTTAGTCCTTTGGAAACACTTCCTTGCATGCTAACATTGCACCTTGCTCAACAACATCTTTTATTACAGTGACTCAAGGTTTCTTTTTGTTTGTGTGACAAACAAGCCCTATCAGACATGTCAAGTCTGTTTCAGAAAGGGAAAGAAGCTGAAAATTGCACAGATCAATGTAGAAAGGTTACAGATAAACCCAAGATTTCTGTCTTGACATAAGATTAACTCCCTCATAAAAGAGGACATGCATCATAAGTTGATTTGTTTTCATTTACCTCTAATTTTCTTAGTACTTTTAACCACAAGCAAGTTGTGAATGACATAAAACTTCCCAAGTTGTATAAGCAGTGCAGGCACTTTCTATAGCATTAGTGACTAAATACATGTAATAGCTGTTTAGTCATCTCTAAAAAATTAATTTGGTCGTTATAACTTAGTGGGTGACTAGATTAATAAATGTGTCTGAACCAAAACCTTTAATACTAATGATGAATCTTCCAGATCACACTAGAGAGAGACTGATGAGAGACTTTGAGGTCACTTGCACTGCTGCATCTTTGCACAGATAACCCCATCTTCTCTCTGCCTGGAAGGCAGATCTTGCTCTTGCATCAACAGAGAAGAGCATTTAGTATTATATATGTATATATATATATATAAACTTCAGAAATGTAATTTTTTGCTCTTTTTACAGCACTGCCAGCTGATCTCATCAAGGTTGCTAAAGATATTAAGCCCACTATTGAAATACAACAAAAAGGAGACGACTTTGTTGTGACATCAAAAACACCCAAGCAATCTGTAACAAACTCATTTACACTTGGAAAAGAGGCTGACATTACTACTATGGATGGCAGAAAGCTAAAGGTAACATATGTGAGGAATAGGTGCATTTCTAGTCATCTTATAATCTAGTTTTAGTGCACAAGTAAAATTTATTGTACTGTTTCCATTAGCAAAAATAGTGTATACACATGCATTTGTATTATTTCAACTGACAGAAATGCTTTGCTGAAACTCTTATGAAAATGCTGTGGTCTTCCATTTCAATTAGCAGACGTGGTTATGAAATTTCCATATCACCTGCATTTATTTTACACTTGAATATGTAGTCACCTACTTATTTTAACTGAATTTCAAAATCTCCACTTTTAAAAATATATTTTTAAATCTGCTTCAACAGTGCACTGTGACCATGGTAAATGGAAAGCTTGTGTGCAAATCAGAATCCTTCTATCACGAGCAGGAAATTACAGGAAACGAAATGGTGGAGGTAAGTATTTGGAAAACAATGGTGCATTAGGAAAAATGCTGAAAGAAGTTAATAGTAAGTTGTTCCTTACTGACTACGAGCTTTTCTAAGGAGTTAACCTCATCGGGCTCCTAAAAAGTGTCCACTTGGGTAAAAGTTACTACATGAAGCACAGCTAACTATAGTATAGTTATGTATCTTGGACAATTTCTTGAGATCATTCGGAGTATTTTCTAACATCAAGTAGGCAAAACATCACACAAAAGAACCAATCAGGGTTGTATCTTTCTGGTTTTGTAAGAGACCAATTTCCTCAGTATGAAGGTTACAGATACATTTATAGGCAAGTGCTACAATTGCATTTTCTTGTACAATATGGATTTTAAATGAATTTCAGAAACATCTAGTCACTTGGCTATAAATAGACTTCCCAAAGTCTAAGGGAAAAACAAATTGTGCATATTTGTCATTTACAGCGTTTGACCGTTGGTGGAGCAACACTTGTCAGAAGAAGCAAGAAAGTCTGAAGACAAATCCACTTTCTTTCAGACATTTTTTACATACCTAAATAAAGTGCACTTTCCAGTGGTGTGATCGTTGTTATCTGAAAGAATAGTACAGAAAGTCATTATTTCTACTACCTATTTCTCCTATCCTTTCACATACGAGTGCCTTCCCATCTTAAGACCATGCTTTCCCTGATTACCCTTCCAGATCCTTTCCATGCTCACAGCACGAGCCCTCTGCCTCCCAATCAATCAAACCTGGACATATCTGAACAAATATGACTCACCACAATCATCAACGGGAGGGGACAGAAGCTGACACACTTCTTGTTTCATAACATACCTAATGAACCCAGCCAGCTCTTATCCCTTGTTCTAATAACGTTTGCTGTCCTACTAAAACCCCATCTCTATGTCCTACCTATGACAGTGCCTAGTCTAGACTTTCCTATGCTAGCAGAAGAGTGGTTTGTGAGGGATTTTTTTGGTGTGCTTTATAGCTAATACCAATTACAACAAGCTTTAAGCGTGACTGAGGAATTACAACAAGCTTTAAGCGTGATCGAGGAAGTATATTCCTATTCTGTGATAAGAATGACCTCATGGGGAGTTTTGCTGGCGTAATTAAGCAAGCATTGTTATGTTCCTTTAGCTTCCCATGTAGTTCTACTTTTAAGTACCCTTTTGCAGACTTTAAATTCAGAATTAAGATCATTAGCACACAATCAAGACACCGGTCAGGCCTCAGAAAGAGGGCTCTTTTAAAGCTTCAGTGCATGGAGCCATTTACGAGCTTGGAATGTTTGAAAGTTGCTGGGTAACTGCTGCTAACCACACAATGAAACACTGCAAAACACAACGTAGTTTTCTAACAATAAATTCACATATCAAGTCAACAACCAGGGGGAATTAAGGGGAATATTCAGTGCTGTTCTTTACTTCAAGACCTCAAACCATGAATGATTTTGATTACACTGGGGACCTTACCTCTCTGCTCTAGGTAATCAGTTATTTCTGGACGACAAACGTTACAGCTTTGCACAGTAATCCTGGATCCATTCTTTCGCAAAACCAAGTGAAATTTTCTGCAAAGGCCTTCAGATTATTTGCAATCTTGTAATCAGGAACATTTCTATCTTGCTCGAAACTGTTCATTTCCAATTCCAAAGGCTCTGGAGGGGTAATCCTGGCAGCAAATATATCTATCCATTGCCAAACTCCATTCCTTGGTGATTCCATTGTTCTTCAGCATGTCGGAGGACTGATTTTTCCTGCTTTGTTAGAGCTGAATTGGACTATGCGCTCTGCCATAATTCAGTCTCCAACTCTCTTTCTTTGGCTTGATTCTCAAGTTCTTTTGACAACGCTTGTGTATGTACAGAATCTGACTGGGTTTATGTTGCACAAGTTAAAAAGGAAAATACCTGCTGCTAGCAGATTTGGAGCAAAATAGTATTAAAGGAGAATATCAAATGCATAAAACACTGCCAGGAACCCCTCCTTTTTTTTTTTTTTTTTTTTTTTCCAACAAAGTGGAATACATAGCTGGCTCTTCCATCCCCCAGGCTTGCAATTCAAACTCATGTTACACGTAATGTGTAGAAACATCGAACCATTCTGGGTGCGATATTGCCAGGACAGCAGCATGCCTGTGCAGTTTGACAACACACAGAGCTACCACTTTCTCGCCTTTTTCATCCCTGGCAATCATATTCTATGCAAGAAAAGCAGCAATTCCTCCAGCTGTCTGCTTTCTTGTTAACACAAATGGCTCTGGTTAAGAACGGACTGGTCTTTTGCTCCAGAATGCTCCAATGAAGAGCCCTGGGGACAAGCGCTGTCCACGGGCAGGCTGCAGCATGCCGTTACCTCACACCGCTAGAAACGGGCAGGCACAGGGAGTTCTGCAGCCCTGCACACCAGCCAGCCGCGGGGCCGACCCACGGCACTGGTGGACGGGGCAGAGAAG